ATTAATTTGTATTTTATAATTTCCTTGTCTTTAAGTTTGCCTCTAATTTATGCAGATTACATGCATATTAATATATTTACAGTTTTTCATGAAATGAGGGCATGTTGTGATTGCATTCTTCTTCTTCTTATTGCTTGGTTTGTTTAAGTAAAAAACTCTTTGTGGTTTATAGATATTCTTAAGTGTTCTCCTTGTACTACTGAACATTGAAGTTAGGATGGATGTGTGAGGTTTTCTCAATGACAGCGTATCAAATCTCACTTTAATGTCCTTCAAAGTGTAGTGTTCAGATTAGTAATTCTTTATATATATATATATATATGTGTACTAGAATTTACATTACATTGTAGGTATTTTATTCACATATGTATAATAAGATTGTGAATTATGTTCTTATGATTCATAATTAAAAATAATGAACTTTAACTAATACCAATAATGTTGTAAAAGTTAGCAAAAGAAAAATATGTCGGCTAACTGAGGCATAACATAGTTTGCTGGCATAGTAACTTACAATTACTATGTTATTGACAAAATATTTAATAAACTGACAATTACTATAAGTGTGTTAACACTTTAAACAGCAGGATATCTATCAAACATTTATCTTGAATATCTAGTGGCTCATAAATGTTTTCAAGTTTACACTTTTTTATAAAAAATAAGATTTTAGTTTGATGCAGATATTTAAAAAGCCACTAGTTTATCCTGAGTAGATCATGCAGGCTTAACCAAGTTTATCCTGAGTAGATCATGCAGGCTTAACCAAGTTTATCCTGGGTAGATCGTGCAGCTTAACCAAGTTTATCCTGGGTAGATTGTATAGGCTTAACCAAGTTTATCCTGGGTAGATCATGTAGGCTTAACCAAGTTTAACCTGGGTAGATCGTGCAGGCTTGACCAAGTTTATCCTGGGTAGATCATGTAGGATTAACCAAGTTTATCCTGGGTAGATCATGCGGGATTAACCAAGTTTATCCTGGGTAGATCATGCAGGCTTAACCAAGTTTATCCTGGGTAGATTGTGCAGCTTAACCAAGTTTATTCTGGGTAGATCATGCAGGCTTAACCAAGTTTATCCTGGGTAGATCATGCAGCTTAACCTAGTTTATCCTGGGTAGATCATTTAGGCTTAACCAAGTTTATCCTGGGTAGATCGTGTAGGCTTAACCAAGTTTATCCTGGGTAGATCATGCAGGTTTAACCAAGTTTTTCATGTTGTGGATTGAGCTGCTATCAAGAAAATTGGATGAAGCTCAAAATTAAATACATTTGCATGACAACTGAAATTGTGGCTTGAGATAATTATATTTCATAGGGGCAACCAACACCTCGGTATTAATAGTTTATACGGGCAACCAACACCTCGGTATTAATAGTTTATACGGGCAACCAACACCTCGGTATTAATAGTTTATAAGGGCAACCAACACCTCGGTATTAATAGTTTATATGGGCAACCAACACCTCGGTATTAATAGTTTATACGGGCGACCAACACCTCGGTATTAATAGTTTATACGGGCAAACAACACCTCGGTATTAACAGTTTATACGGGCAAACAACACCTCGTTATTAATAGTTTATACGGGCAACCAACACCTCGGTATTAATAGTTTATACGGTCAAACAACACCTCTGTGTTAATAATTTATACAGGCAACCAAGACCTCGGAATTAATAGTTTATACGGGCAACCAACACCTCGGTATTAATAGTTTATACGGGCAACCAACACCTCGGTATTAATAGTTGATACGGGCAACCAACACCTCGGTATTAATAGTTGATACGGGCAACCAACACCTCAGTATTAATAGTTTCAACAAGTGTGTATTGTCTTTTTTATTTCTCACCAGTCATGTATATTTGTCATATGCATCTTATGCAATCTGTGTTAACAATATTGATGGTTAGATATTGTGATTTATTGTTTACTATGTAAATATGTTATTGTATTTCTTGTACTTTAACAATATAAACTTTAGACACTGATTATTAAATGAAGGTTTTTGGTTGAATCATTTTTTATTTGTTTTTTTGGGGGGGGCTATAGTGAAAGTATTTCATTTTTCTGGCATTATAAAGCTTAGTCATTACAATTTTCTCTTGATTTAGTTGGATGTGATACAACGTCTGACGTGTAAATAGCAGGAAAGAAATTATGAACAAAATGTTTTTTTTAAAGTATTTTATCGTTGTTTGTATTGACATAAATTCAGTGTATAAAAGTTTGTTGTATTGTAATATGATTCTACAAATATATAAATGTTGTTGGAATATTTTCTGAGTGCACCATCCTTATCATTAATGTTAACATTCTATATAAAACTTGGAGCCCAGTCCAAAGGCAAAGCAAAAACAAAGGCTTAGACAACAAAAATATCCTTAGAGAGGGCGCTGTGGATTAGCTCTCTTTTTTTTTAGTCTTGCACAGATAGCCCTCTGCGTAGTTTTTTTTTTTTGCAAAAATTCTGAAACAGTCAATATCTTTGTAAGTTACTCAATAAAACAAGATAAATATTGGACTTTTACGGCTTCTATAATGATGTCTGTTGAACTTTTTACAGTTCAGAAAAATGATGGTTCTGTTATTTAATATTTGAGCCACGAGACACGTTACTTTTTGGACGCGTGACTTGAAAGCTACTTTTCTAAAGGGAAAGGGGTCCTTACCTTCACAAAAAGTAAAGAATTGCGCTTTCTCATTCGGGCTATTGTTGCGTTATAAAGGTAACGGTCAAAGCCCAATATTGTGTCATACAAGAGTTGGCAGAAGGTGCTATTGGCTAGTTGCCTTTCCCAGGCCTCTCGTCTATCAATTCAAAACCAGGGACGGCTTTCCTTAAATAGCTTTGTGCGAATATTCGTA